ACTACTACTACTTACTACTGCTTGATATACTACTACTACGACTACTGCTACTACTACTACTACTACTACGAATACTACTACGAATACTACTACTACTACTACTACGACTACTACTACTACTACTACTACTACTACTACTGCTGCTACTACTACTCCGACTACTACTACTACTACTGCTGCTACTACTACTACTCTGACTCCGATTCCGACTCCGACTCCGACTCCTACTCCTCCTACTCCTTTTCCTACTCCTACTCCTTTTCCTACTCCTACTCCTACTCATACTCCTACTCCTACTACTCCTACTCCTACTCCGACTCCTACTCCTACTATTCCTACTCCTACTCCTACTCATACTCCTACTACTCCTATCCTTATTCCTTATTCGAATATACTCCTACTCCCCCCTCAGGCTGGCAGATAGGGGCCCCATCCGGGTGGTCCCATCCTAACCTGTAAAAAATTAGCCTGGCGAAGAACCCAACCATATGCAGTTGTCAGTACCGCAGCTGCGGGTTTCATCTTCAATGGAACTCCCCATAGGACTACGGAACGTGTGAGGGGTGTGCCGAGATGGGTGCCACTGGGGCATTCGGCGAAGCTCCCTATGGGGACATGAAACACGCGCGGGGCGTGCCGACATGGGTGGCGGAAACGCATGTGCAGGCCGCCACTGGGGCCTCCAGTGGAGCTCCCTATGGGTCCCCGAAACATGATGCTGCTGCGGGGGGGGGGGCCGGGATGGGTGGCGGAGACGCATGTAAGCGCCGCTACTGGGGCCTTCGGTGGAGCTCCCTATGGGGCCACGAAGCGCGTGAGGGGTGTACTGGGATGTGTGGCGGGGACGCATGTGAGCGCCGCCACTGGGGCCTTCGGTGCAGCTCTCTATGGGGCCACGAAACGTGTGAGGGGTGTGCCGAATTGGGTGCGGGTGGTGACGCATGCGGCGGTGCCACTGGGGCCTTCGGTGGAGCTCCCTATGGGGCCACGAAACCTGTTGTTGTGAGGGGCGTGCCGGGATGGGTGGCGGGGACGCATGTGAGCGCGGCCGCTGGGGCCTTCGGTGGAGCTCCCTATGGGGCCACGAAGCGTGTGAGGGGTGTGCCGAATTGGGTGGGTGTGGGTGACGCATGTGAGCGCCGCCACTGGGGCCTCCGGTGGATGGGGCCACGAAACCTGTCAGGGATGTGCCCAAATGGGTGTGCGGGACGCATGCGCATGTGAGCGCCGCCACTGGGGCCTTCGGTGGAGCTCCCTATGGGGCCACGAAGCGTGTGAGGGGTTGGCCGAAGTGGATGGGGGTGACGCATGCGGCCGCGGGCACTGGGGCCTTCGGTGGAGCTCCCTATGGGGCCACGAAACGTGTGAGGGGTGTGCCGAATTGGGTGTGCGGGACGCATGCGGGCGGCAGCACTGGTGCCTTCGGCGGAGCTCCCTATGGGGCCACGAAACGTGTGAGGGGTGTGCCGAATTGGGCGTGCGGGACGCATGCGGGCGGCAGCATTGGAGCCTTCGGTGGGGCTCCCTATGGGGCCACGAAACGTGTGAGGAGTGTGCCGAATTGGGTGTGCGGGACGCATGCGGGCGGCAGCACTGGGGCCTTCGGCGGGGTTCCCTATGGGGCCACGAAGCGTGGGAGGGGTGATTGCCGAATTGGGCTGCGGGGCGCATGGCGGGCGGCAGCACCTGGGGGGGGCCGGCCCCCCCCCCCCCCTTTCGGTGGGGCTCCCTATGGGGCCACGAAACGTGTGAGGGGTGTGCCGAATTGGGCGTGCGTGACGCATGCGGCGGCAGCACTGGGGCCTTCGGCGGAGCTCCTATGGGGCCACGAAACGTGTGAGGGGTGTGCCGAATTGGGTGTGCGTGACGCATGCGGGCGGCAGCACTGGGGCCTTCGGTGGGGCCCTATGGGGCCACGAAGCGTGTGAGGGGTGTGCCGAATTGGGTGTGGGTGACGCATGCGGGCGGCAGCACTGGTGCCTTCGGTGGGGCTCCCTATGGGGCCACGAAACGTGTGAGGGGTGTGCCGAATTGGGCGTGCGGGACGCATGCGGGCGGCAGCACTGGGGCCTTCGGTGGGGCTCCCTATGGGGCCACGAAACGTGTGAGGGGTGTGCCGAAGTGGGTGTGCGGGACGCATGCGGGCGGCAGCACTGGGGCCTTCGGTGGGGCTCCCTATGGGGCCACGAAACGTGTGAGGGGTGTGCCGAATTGGGTCTGCGGGACGCATGCGGGCGGCAGCACTGGGGCCTTCGGTGGGGGCTCCCTATGGGGCCAAGAAACGTGTGAGGGGTGTGCCGGATTGGGCGTGCGGGACGCATGCGGGCGGCAGCACTGGGGCCTTCGGAGGGGCTCCCTATGGGGCCACGAAACGTGTGAGGAGTGTGCCGAATTGGGGTGTGCGGGAAGCGAGGGCGGCAGCACTGGGGGGCTTCGGTGGGGCTCCCTATGGGGGCCACGAAAGCGCTGGTGATAGGGGTGTTGCCGAATCGGGGTGTGCGGGACGGCATGGCGGGCGGCAGCCCATGGGGGCCTTCGGTGGAGCTCCTAATGGGGGCCACGAAGCGGTGAGGGGTGTGCCCGACTTGGACGTGTGCGGGAGCACGGGCGCAAGCACTGGGGACTTCGGTGGGGCCAATTACACGAACGAAAACGCTGTTTTTTTTTCTCCTACTGGGCGGGTGAAACGCAAGGAAGAGGGGAGAGGAGGCGGAGGAGGAGGAAGGAGGAAGGAGACGCGGGGCACCGTCTCTTCAAAACGAGGACCCAACACCACAGGATGGTTGGGAACAATGCAAAATCAACATGTTCCTTATTTTTTCCTCTCGACATGGACGTCCTGTCGTCCACGGCGATAATCCATTGCAAAAAATACCACAAAGAGCACACGCGCGCGTTCATGTCATAATCCTACCGAACACCGTGTGTTTGCAAGCATTTCAACATGAAAACATCAAACACCCAATGCTTTTTCACAAACATTCTACAACTTTCCTGCCCGGGCTCTCTTGCTGAAATCATAGGAAAACCATAGGAATCTTAAGACTTCTGTCAAATTCAACGATTTCACGTCATCGCGCGGTGCACTCGCGATGCTCTGTCATGCACCCAGGCCGCAAATCCTGTGCAAAAAATACCACGCGGGCGACATGCGTCGTCGCCGCATGCGGACCTACTACAACTACAACAACAACAACAACAACTACTACTACTACTACTACTACTACTACTACGAATACTACTACTACGACTACTACTACGACTACTACTACTATTACTACTACTACTACTACTACTACTACTACTACTACTACTACTACTACTACTACTACTACGACTACTACTACTACTACTACTACTACTACTACTACTACTAATAATAATAATAAAAATAATAATAATAGTACGAGTAGCACTGCAAGTACTTGTCATAGCACTACTTTTTCTGTTACTACTACTACTACCACTACCACTACCAACACCACTACCACTGGTAGTACTCCTGCCTCTTGGGGCCTCCTGGGCCCCCTTGGGGTGTCCTGTCAGACCGTCGGGCTTCCTCCGGCCACCTCTGGCTTCCTGCGGTGTACCGGGCCATTCTCGACTCGTCTGGCAATGCGTGCGCGGCATTCAACACGCGCTCGCCAGTTCCCGTCGGCAACCGCCATCGCGGCCACATCAGCTGTACCAAACCGGCTGGCCGGTGTGACTTCGGCCCCCAGTTGTGCCAGCTTTGCTTCTTATGTTGTGGGAGGGCGGGTGGGACTGGGCATGCCATGCTTGACTCGCTCGAGCTGGCTAGCTTGACTCCTACTCCTACTCCTACTCCTACTCCTACTCGTGCTCCTGCTCCTGCTCCTGCCCCTGCTCCTGCTCCTCCGCCTCCTCCATCCTCCTCCTCCTCCTTCCTACTCCTACTCCTGCTCCACCTCATCCTCCTCTCCTCCCTCCTCCTCCTCCTCCTACTCCTCTCTCCTCCTACTACTACTACTAATCCTACTCCTACTCATACTCCTATCCTTATTCCTTATTAGAATATACTCCTACTCCCCCCTCAGGCCGGCCATTAGGGGCCGCATCCGGGTGGTCCCATCCTAACCTGTAAAAAAAACAATACAAAATCAACATTTTTCTTATTTTTTCCTCTCGACATGGACGTCCTGTCGTCCACGGCGATAATCCATTGCAAAAAATACCACAAAGAGCCCACGCGCGCGTTCATGTCAGAATCCTACCGAACACCGTGTGTTTGCAAGCATTTCAACATAAAAACATCAAAAACCCAATGCTTGTTTCACAAAAGTTGTACAAATTTCCCGCCCGGGCTCTCTTACTGAAATCATAGGAAAACCATAGGAATCTTAAGAATTCGGCCAAATCCAGCGATTTCACGTCATCGCGCGGTGCACTCGCGATGCTCTGTCATGCACCCAGGCCGCGAATCCTGTGCAAAAAATACAACGAAGAGCACACTCGCGCGTTCATGTCAGAATCCTACCGAACACCGTGTGTTTGCAAGCATTTCAACATAAAAACATCAAAACCCAATGCTTTTTCACAAAAATGCTGTGGGGTGTCCTGTCAGACCGTCGGGCTTCCTCCGGCCACCTCTGGCTTCCTGCGGTGTACCAGGCCATTCTCGACTCGTCTGGCAATGCGTGCGCGGCATTCATCACGCGCTCGCCAGTTCCCGTCGGCAACCGCCATCGCGGCCGCATCAGCTGTACCAACCCGGCTGGCCGGTGTGACTTCGGCCCCCAGTTGTGCCAGCTTTGCTTCTTATGTTGTGGGAGGACGGGTGGGACTGGGCATGCCATGCTTGACTCGCTCGAGCTGGCTAGCTTGACTCCTACTCCTACTCCTCTTCCTCCTCCTCCTCCTCCTCCTCCTCCTCCTCCTCCTCCTCCTCCTCCTCCTCCTCCTCCTCCTACTCCTACTCCTACCCCCCCCCTCCTTGAGCCCCATCCACTCCCCGAGCTCCCCGCCGCGCGCCGCCCCAGGCCTACCAGGAGGTGGTCGACATGGCGGAGCACGGAGCGCCAAGGGGGGAGGGGGAGGGGGAGGAGGATGAGGAGGAGGAGGAGGAGAAGGAAGGAAGACGAGGAGGGGGGAGGGGGAGGAGGAGGAGGAGGAGCGGAGAGGTGAGGTGAGGAGAGGAGAGGAGAGGAGAGGAGAGGAGAGGAGAGGAGAGGAGAGGAGAGGAGAGAGGAGAGAGGATGATTGATTGATGATGATGATGATTGATGATGAATGATGAGATGTGATGATGATGATGATGATGATGATTGATTGATGTGATGATGAGATAATGATGATAATTGATGATGATGATGATGCTGCTGCTGCTGCATGCTGCTGAATGATGATGATTGATGATGATGATGATGATGCTGATGATGGTGGGGTGTGGTGGTGGTGGTGGTGATGATGATGATGGATGATGCTGGGGGTGGTGGGGGGGGATGCGGCTGTTGCTTGATGCTGATGGCTGATGCTGGTGCTGATGCTGATGCTGATGCTGAGCTGATGTGATGAGATGCTGAGTTTTTTTTTTTTTTTTTTTTTTAGTTTTTTTTTTTTTTTTTTTCTTTTTTTCTTTTTTTTTTAATGCTGATGCTGATGCTGATGCTGATGCTGATGCTGAGGCTGATGCTGATGTGATGCTGATGCGATGATGATGCTGATGCTGATTGCTGATGCTGATTGCTAGATGCGATGCCGATGCCGATGTGATTGTGATTGATGCTGATGATGATGCTGGATGATTGATTTTACTGAGATGATGGCCCCATTTATGTGATGCTGATGCTGATGCTGATGCTGATGCTGATGCTGATGAGGAGGAGGAGGAGGAGGAGGAGGAGGAGGAGGAGGAGGAGGACGGAGGAGGAGGAGGAGAAGGAAGGAATGAATGAAGGAAGGAACGAAGGAAGGAAGGGAGGAAAGGAGGAAGGAAGGGAGCAAGGAAGGAAGGAATGAACGAAGGGAGGGAGGGAGGGAAGAAGGAAGGAAGGATGGAAGGAACGAAGGACGGAAGGAAGGAAGGAGGAGGGAAGCTTCATGGCGACAATCATTTCGACCGCCATGAGCAGCAGCAGGCAGGGAGGGTGGGAGAGAAGGGGGGAGGAGGAGGAGGAGGAGGAGGAGGAGGAGGAGGAGGAGGAGGAGGAGGAGGAGGAGTTCACCGGCATCAATGACATCAGCGCGCAGGAGGATAATGTGGAGGAGGAGGAGGAGGAGGAAGAGGAGGAGGAGGAGGAGGAGGAGGAGGAGGAGGAGGAGGAATACGTAAGAATGCTTCCCCTGATGTTCGATGAATTCCATCAGTTGGGCTTCCACTGGGTTCTCAATGTAATGTGTTCTGTGGAGGGAACAGGAGGTGCAGCACGAGGAGGATGAGGAGGCAGGGGGAGGAGGGGACACGACGGTGCCAAACAGCCCCCAATAAAGGCGAGCGCCGAGGACTGGAGTGCTCCCAGGATCCAGGATCGGGGAGCTTTACAGTTGGGGCCCATGCCAAGAAACACCCTGCTTGCCTCCAGGGTGCCCTGGGTTTCTTGGGTTTCGATGGTTCTGCGATGGAAAGCGTGACGTCCCCACACCAACCATCGACGGACGTCCTGGGGTCTCAGGGTCGGGTTTCTCGCGGAAGGTTTCCTGTGGGTTGGCCTCCGCTGCATTCCAGGATCGAGAGTCGGTCCTTGGAGCAAGGGCTCCCACGAGGGCGCGAAGTTATTCGCGCTTCGCGGTCCTCGTTCCTTCTCCCCCTCCTCCTCGTTCCCCTTCTCTCCCTTTGGGGGGGCGGCGCGAGAGCGCGAAGTTATTCGCGCTTCGCGGAGCGCGAAGCGCGAAGTTGGGAGCCTTAGGTCAACTCTTCGAAGGGGCCGCTCGGCAAAAGGTACCCACTACGATCCCCAGCTTCGAAGAGGCCGCCAAGCAGTGGCGCGCCGTCAGAGGCCCCCTGGCGGCGTGGCGTCAACGGCCACGTGGCTTGCAGGAGCCTTCGGCGGCGAGCGAGGGGGGGGAGCGAGGAGGAGGAAGAGGAGGAGGAGGAGGAGGAGGAGGAGGAGGAGGAGGCCTGCTCAGAAGGCTCGGAAAGCCTCTAGCCCTCTGAGAAGGCTTCTGAGCCCTCCCCGAAGAGGCAGAAGAAGCCTTTCGGAAGGCCAGAGGGCTTCTGACAAGCCCCGCCGCTTTCTGAGAGGGCCTCCTCCCTCTCACTTCCCCCAGGGGCAACGGCGAGGGGGGATAGGCACAGGGGGGTACGCATCGACCCCCAAT